ATTCATAAAGTTACATATACCAAGAGGGGGGTTTCATTTAATTAATTTCATCGAGAGCATGATAAATAACTCTTGGATTCGACCCTTTTTTTTTTTTCTTTCTTTCTTTCTTTGTTTGCACGCAAATATTTTTAAGAGCTTCTTTATACCTTCGGTAAAAGGAAGCCAAATTTGTGCACAATCTTCTTCTACCGATGATTCTGTGCACAGATAGATATAGTAATGTGGGTAGATAAAAATTCGTTACTCGTTCATAACAAGATGAAGAAAGAAGAAAGAACAAAAAACAAAAAAAATACAAAAACTTTACTTTTTTCTTTGATTTTATTATTATTATTATTATTATTCTTGATTATTTTTAATATACCACGATTGAAAACTTTAAACGTGACCATAACGATTCATTTTTTAGGAAGACCATTATTAAAGAGAAAAATTTCACGATATAAGCAGAATCCATAGTACTCTTCATAAAAACAAAAAAACAAAGAAGAAGAAGAAGAAGACTCCATATATATATATATCCAAGAACATAATAAACCCTAAAATATAATCGTTATCATCGTGACACAATATCCAAGGAAACATTTTCAATAAGGATTAAAGGTGAAAAAGAAGAAGAAGTAAAAGGCTCTTGTGTTGTAGATACATAAATGTAGATATATAAAAAAAGAAGAAAAGAAAAAACATTTACAAATTGATGTACCTACTAAACATATATATATGTATGTATGTATACACACACACAGAGAAGACTAAACTCTTTCTGTTTATGTAAGTGTGATAAGAAGAAGGAGAATGAGAGAAGAGAATTGGTTGTTGTTATCGTAAAAGATTGAACACTTGCGAATAAGGTGTAGTACGTCAAGGTGACTAAAGAGGCCTCGTTACCATAATCGTCGATGCAGAAGGGCTCGAGCCAGGTGTATTCTTAAATCTGGCAAGGCAACACCTAAAGACGGTCATCATCGGTTTACAGTATAATAAGATCACAACGTGGCAAACGAGCCGCTCATGACCCTCGACGAGGTTGTGTTCCTCGATATACTTACGTTAACGTATCCTTTCTTCCTTCTTCATTGCTAAGGTGTGAGAGAGGAAAGGAGAGGAAAAGAAGGAAGAAGAAGAAGAAGAAGAAAAGATTGAGAAGAAATTATCGACGGTTCAAAGATGATTCTCCACTCTTGTACGATCAACAACGCCTACCTCTTCGTCGTTCGTACGTGCTTCTTCTTTCTTTCTTTCTCTTTCTCTATCTTTCTTTTTCTTGTTCTTTTTCTCTTTCTCTTATTCTTTNTCTTGTTCTTTTTCTCTTTCTCTTATTCTTTACTTTTTTCTTTTTTTTTTTTTTTTTTTAACATGAAATTGTTCTCATTTTAAAATGTTAGATAGGTTGATACATTTTATTCTATCACATTTGTTTATTTTTATTGTTATTTTTCTTTTCTTTTATATATAATATTACATTGTTTGTTTGTTTGTTTTTTTTTTTTAGGTTATAATTAAATAAGAAGATGATGAAAAAGAAGAAATGTTTGAACGAAAGAAAACCTTCTTTATTGAAATTAATATTATTATTATTATTATTTCAAAAGGAAAGATTTGTTTTCAATTAATCATCAAATTCATCAACAATTGTTATCGTTAACTAGTTTGTTTTTTAGGTTACAATTAAAAAAGAAGAAGAAAAAGAAGAAATGTTTGAACGAAAGAAAACCTTCTTTATTGAAATTAATATTACTATATAAATGAAGAGATTTGTGTATGTGTGTGTTTAAAATTAATAAACAAAATCATCAACAATTGTTATCATTAACTAGTTTGTTTTTTAGGTTACAATTAAAGAAGACGAAAAAGAAGAAATGTTTGAACAGAAGAAAACTCTTTTATTGAAATTAATATTACTATATAAAAAGAAGAGATTTGTGTGTGTGTGTGTGTGTGTGTTTAAAAATAATAATCAAGATTATCAACAATTGTTATCGTTAACTAATCATTTTTTTTAGGTTAAAATTAAAAAAGAAAAAGAAGAAATGTTTGAACAGAAAAGAACTCTTTTATTGAAATGAAGATTACTGTATAAAAGAAGAGATTTGTGTGTGTGTGTACGTATTTAAAATTAATAATCAAGATTATCAACAATTGTTATCGTTAACTAGTTGTTTATTTTTAGGTTATAATTAAAGAAGAAGAAGAAGAAAAAGAAGAAATGTTTGAACGAGAGTAAACCTTCTTTATTGAAAATATAATATTATTATTTCAAAAGGAATGATTTTGTTGTTTAAAATTAATAATCAAGATCATCACAACAATTGTTATCTTTAACTAGTTGTCTTATTGTTAGTACCAATACAACACCAGGTATGTATATATATTTGGAAATCGAAGCTTTGCTTATAAGTTTAGTGTTGTCTTACATTCGTTACTTTCTCTCTTTATCTTTTACTAGTGTGGACCCAAGGAAGGAATAACACGACGAAGAGTCGTGCGAACTAAACGAAAAAGAAGAAGATGAAGAAGAAGAAGAAGAAGAAGAAGTAGAGGATGAGAAAGAAAGAAAGAAGAAGAAGAAAATAAGGAGAAGAAAATAAGGAGAAGATCGAGCAACAAGATCTCACAAGGTATCTCGATAAATCCCTTTCGCTGGACAAATAACGACAAGGCTCATTACTATAAACACGTCTCGCGTGGTCTCTGCGTGTGGCACGTCAACTTCTCGGCAATTCCCCCAAGTCCCCCAAGAGTCCTCCTCTTCCCTTCTCCCCTACAACTCTTCTCTTTCTCTTTCTTCAGTCTTCTTTTATCTACCTATCTTTTTTCCTTACCCGTAGTATTAGCCGGGTATCCCAAAAAAGGAACGACCTTTCCTAATCATGCACTTTAAACATAGCCGTTTTTATGTACACATATCTTTTGTCGAATCTAATCGCTGTTGGTTCTTCTTACACGACGGGGGTTTATTAAAAGAAATGTTTAATGAGAACGAATCTGATAGAATTTGATTTTTATTATTATTATTATTATTATTATTATTATTAATATCATTATATTTATTTTATCACACAAACAAAAAGAAAGTTGATATATTATTATATATATATATATATATATATATATTGATAACGTTGGTATAATGAATATTGTAGTAATATAGGTTAGGTTATTAAATATAATATTTGATAAAAGCAACATGATTAGTTGAGATTTAGTATAAATATTATTATTTTTACAATTATATATTATAATATATATTGATAACGTAAAAATAACGATATTATAATAATATACATTAGAAATATGAATTTTAATATAACATAAGATTAATTTCATTTGACAGAATTCATTGAGATTTACTAGAAATTTTATTTTATATTTTTTTCATAGGTGTTTATCATTGGACCCTCTTTTCAAGCTCTTCAATTTACGGTAGCCGTATTGAAAACTCGATACCACCGGTGGTGGTCTAGTACAATCCTCTCTACATACATATATACATACATACATACGTAAATACATATATATATATGTGTACACAATTTATAAAGACTTATACATTTATGTGTATATATTCCAAGCGTTGTGGGCTCATCCCGATCGATACGTCAATTAATTTTCGAAAGGAGGCTGCGCTCGGCTAATTTAAATGGCCGAACAAACCACCACCACCACCACCACCACCATATCACCACCATCACCATATCCCTTTGAGGGTTGAGGGGGGGCACATTTACCACCAGTGTTTCAACGCACCTGGCCAGACTAGGGTTTCTCTCTGTCCTTCACTATTCTACTCTTTTGCTCTTCCCTCTTCACCCCATCCCATCTCATTGGTTTAATTTCATTTCATTTCCTTTACGATCCCCCTTTTGCTAAACTGTTTAACTTTCATGGAATCATCATTCTCCATCGATACCACTTATCTCTTTTATATATTCCTTTTTTTTTTCTATACTCCATTCCATTCTCATAATTTTTGATCAGGGTATTCAACAGTTTTTTTGTTTTTTTGTTTTTTTTTTAATTTAACTTTCTCCCTAATATTTGATATTACATATGCTTATTTAGTTTTACAGCAAGTTATTACAGCAAGTTAACCTTTATATGTTATTATTAATTTTCTGTTTTCTTCTTCTTCTTCTTTTTGTAGATACATACCAGAAATATTTTATAATACAACATTTGGGTCAAAGTTTCAAGAATATAACAAGGTATGGCATTTACTTCATTGCAACTGCAGTTTTCACGAACAATTATCACCATCTCGTTGGTGACGATGATGCTTAACTAATATATTATTATTAATTTTCTATTTTCTTCTTCTTTTTGTAGATACATACCAGAAATATTTTATAATACAACATTTGGGTCAAAGTTTCAAGAATATAACAAGGTGTGGCATTTACTTCATTGCAACTGCAGTTTTCACGAACAATTATCACCATCTCGTTGGTGAAGATGATACTTAACTTATACATTATTATTAATTTTCTGTTATCTTCT